ATCGTGCGGTTGTCTGCGAGGACACTGACTATGGGGTCTACTAGCTTCTGGACCTTTAGTCCTAGCCTCAGCTTCTTCAGCGCCCTACGGCTAATGTAACTACGGGTAGCCCCTGAGTCTATAAGGGCCTCTACTCTACTTCTGAAAACCTCTACATCTACCAAAATCAGTTGTCCCTTACCCTCCCTTTTCATTTTGGCCCAGGCTGGCATCCTCTCCTTTAACTCTTATGCCACACCTGTGAGGGACGTGCCTAAAGAGACGCTAACACAAGCAGTCTCTGGACAACTATCTAGGCACAGGCCTGCAACCTCTGCCAGAGGCTCATGTGGGTTGGGAGTGTCCTGTTCGCGCGCGCTCACTTCTCCACATGGCCTGGAAGTAGGGGCAATTGCGACCCCTACTGGCGGCTGTCTTTTGACTGTTGAGCAGCCCAACGGGCCTGTCTATACTTTGGACAAAATTTAATTACGTGCATCGGGTCCCCACAGAATACGCACTAACCCATGTTCACGCATTCCTGCCATAATCGTTGGTCCAAGCCCAAGTCTTCCCAGGGCTTGCCCTGTGGCAAGCCTGGGTGCCATCCTCCTTGAGGTGCCCTTCCACCTCCTCGCTGTGGGGACCGATTACCCTGGTGATTTAACGGGGGACCTTGACCCCTACCTCCCGCTTGGCGGTTTCCTTGTCCGCCAACCCCCTGTGCGCCCGGCCCACRGCCTCCCATGRCCTGGCCCCTTTGGCCCTGGCCTCCTCCTCTACCTTGCGGCTTCCCTCCAGCCGCGACAGCAGCATAGGACCTCCCTTGCCCCACACTACTGCCATCATCCTTGAGGCCCCACTCTATCTGACTGTATGGGACCTCATCAGTACCACCTTCCTCTAAGGTAAGGATCCTATGATCCTTGGCCTTGACTTGGCCGGAGATGGTACGCCCTTTCCACCCTTTTGCCTTCTCCAGGTCATTGTGCCAGAAGGTGGTAATTGGCATGGACTTTGACTCATACAGGACGACTTCCCTACTCAATGCATCATATGTGATGCCGGCCTGTTGAGACTTGTCAAAGAAATGCCCACGCAGGGCCTCTGGTATGGCACGATAAAACAATTGGACCAACTGGGTCTCAGTGACCCCATGGTCCGGGACGGCCACTAAGTCGTTCATGGTACCCTTGAGTGCCCTGGCACTCCTCCACTGTCGTGAGTGGATCGTTTGCAGCTTGTCAGAGGCTCTAATGCCTCGCGTTGGGTCAGCGAACCGCTCCTTGAGGAGCTTGAGGAATTGGGAAAGAGGGGTGACTTTGGAATATGCAACCAAGTTGTTTTCACAACCGGCTATACGCGCAAGAGACCTGGCGAAACTAGCCGCTTCATCTTTGAGGGCCTCGAAGGCCACGAGGACTTGTTCCTCTGTTAGGACATGCTGCAAGTAAATATAACTATTGACACTGGCTTCCCAGTTGTCGAAGTTTTCTTCCTTCTTTCCCCCGTACGCATCTGGGAACGTAAGTTTCACTGGGTCCTTACAGGGTCTGGCCTCTCCCTCTACAGCGGCTACTGCTTTGGCACCCTGAATGGCGCCCTCACAAAACTTCCCTACATTGTCTCTCAATTGCTTGACTTCGCCCCCAATGTGGGTGACGATCTCGTGCGCAAAGTCTCTAAACCCTGACCGCATGGCACTCAAGGCTACATCTTGGCTCCAGTTAGCCTGGCGCTCTTCCATCCAGGCCTTGCTCAACACTTCCAAGTACCCCAGTACCTTGTCCCACTTGGCCTTATCATCCGGCTGGGCCATCACCTCCTGCCTGCATGCTTGCACCTTCGCCACCTCAGCAGTCATTTTACTCACTTCCTCTCTCCTCCTCTTCTTCTCTCGCTTCATCCTCAACTTCCATGCCAATTTCTGCTCCTCCTCCCTTTCTCGCCTTTCCATAGGATCTGTCATTGTTGCTAGCTCACTGGCTAGCGCAGCCCTCTCATCCTCAGTCACATAGGACTCTGCCTCTTCCTCTTCACCCAACGATAAATTAGCGACCCACTCGCTGATCTTCTTCTCCATCTCAATATTTGTCTCCCTCTTCATCGTGCCACCACTGCTTTCTTCTCCACTCTCAATCCTCATTCTCTCTTTCTCTTCTTCTGCTGCCGCTTCTGCTTTAGCAGCTTTTCTTCATTCTTCCTCCTCTTGTTGTACTCTCTTCATCTCCTCCTCCAATTTCTTCATCTTCGCCGCCTGCTCGTCTGCGATAGCCTTTAGCTTGGCCTACTTTTCACGCTCTTTCCTCTCCTTATTCTCTTTCACTAAGGCGGCCATCTTTGCTTGCTGCTCAGGGGTGTAGGGGCTAGTCTCCTTCCCACTACGGGTCTCAACCATGGTGATAAGTGTACAACCGGGTTAGTGGTTCCAAACCTCACCACGTAGACGTCAACCCCTGACTGACAGACCTACTGACTCAATCTAAGACTCACAGAATCCTTACAGGGATCCTGCCAACTAGGATCTCTAGCCTAGACCTAACTACGACTGTCACTACTAGACCCTTCGCTGATCTGGAGGCATTTAAGGAGATCCCCCGTAACTCCTCAATAATTATTTAACGTCGCAGACAGGACGACGTGATCAGCTTGGTCTTGTTTGTGCTTTCAGCCCACAACTCAACCTTTCCGGCCTACTGTGCCACACCGAGCAGCCTGCCGGTCTGTACCGGTCCTTGGGAGGGTTTGACCTCCGGGACAGTCGAGTCGTCAGACACAGATCCTCAACCTTACTTGGTCCGGTAGGGGAGTGGCTCAAACAGGCCCTCAACACTTAAAGACTGCCTGGTGTGCCAGCCCTAACTGTCGTTCATGCCCACTGAGTCCTACCAACCGTTTCCAGTCGGTCAGCACCGGTCCTTGGGAGGGTTATGCCCCCCTGGAAAGTTGGATCAGCCACAGCCTTAGCCTTACAAGGTCAAACTAGGGTTTCGTCATCCAAGCCCTATCCTTCATCCACAGAGTACTATGACCTAGGACCTAAGAGACTCAATGCAGAAAGAATAGACAGACAGATTGTACTCAGCAAGTACCAAGGGGTATGTGCACATCCATAGGGCAAGGGGTAGGCTAAGGGCTTGGCGAGATGTTACCAACTCCAGCTTGGTCAAAGTCTTGGTCAACAGTCTTGGTCAACAGTCTTGGTCAACGCCGGTCAACTCTGCGGTCAACCCCTGGTCAACTCTGGTAACGCCGGTCAACACCTCCGGTCAACCCTCTCGGTCAACTCCCCGGTCAGCTATGGCTGCCGGCTCTTCTTCCTCGCCAATCCCCTTCTTCTTCTT